TAATGTTAACCCTAACCCCAACTGTAAACTTAACCCTAACCCCAACTATAATGTTAGCCCTAACACCAACTGTAACCTTAACCCCAACCCCAACTGTAATGTTAACCCTAATCCCAACTGTAATGTTAACCCTAATCTCATCTGTAACCTTGACCCTAACTCCAACTGTAATGTTAACCCTAACCCCAACTGTAATGTTAACCCTAACCCCAACTGTAAACTTAACCCTAACCCCAACTGTAACATCAGCTCTAACCCCAACTGTAACCTTAACCCTAACCCCAACGGAAACCTTAACCCTAACCTCAACTTTAATGTTAACCCTAACCCCAACTGTAATGTTAACCCTGACCCCAACTCTAATGTTAACCCTAACCCCAACTGTAATATTAACCCTAACCCCAACTGTAAACTTAACCCTAACCCCAACTGTAACATTAGCCCTAACCCCAACTGTAATGTTAACCCTATCCCCAACGGAAACCTTAACCCTAACCCCAACTGTAACCTTAACCCTAACCCCAACTGTAACCTTAACCCTAACCCCAACTGTCAACTTAACCCTAACCTCAACTTTAATGTTAACCCTAACCCCAACTGTAAACTTAACCCTAACCCCAACTGTAATATTAGCCCTAACTCCAACTGTAATATTAACCCTAACCCCAACTGTAATGTTAACTCTAACCCCAACTGTAATATTAACCCTAATCCCAACTGTAAACTTAACCCTAACCCCAACTGTAACGTTAGCCCTAACCCCAACTGTAATGTTAACCCTATCCCCAATGGAAACCTTAACCCTAACCCCAACGGAAATCTTAACCCTAACCCCAACTGTAACCTTAACCCTAAGCCCAACTGTAAACTTAACCCTAATCCCAACTGTAACCTTAACCCTAACCCCAACTGTAACCTTAACCCTAACCCCAACTGTAATGTTAGCCCTAACCCCAACTGTAACCTTAACCCTAACCCCAACGGAAACCTTAACCCTAACCTCAACTTTAATGTTAACCCTAACCCCCTCTGTAACGTTAACCCTAACCCCACTGTAACCTTAACCCTAACCCTAACTGTAACCTTAACCCTAACCCCAACTGTAATGTTAACCCTAACTCCAACTGTAAACTTAACCCTAACCCCAACTGTAACGTTAGCCCTAACACCAACTGTAATGTTAACCCTAACCCCAACTGTAACGTTAACCCTAACCCCAACGGAAACCTTAACACTTACCCCATCGGAAACTTTAACCCTAACCCCAACTGTAACCTTAACCCTTACCCCAACGGAAACTTTAACCCTAACCCCAACTGTAATGTTAACCCTAACTGTTACTTGAGCCTTGACCCTACTGTTAACCGTAACCATAACCTTCACCCTGACCATAACCCTAACCTTAACACTAACCATAACCTGAATCTTGACCCTAACCATAACCCTAATACAACCTTCACCCTAACCATATCCCTACCCTAACCCTAACCAGAGCCTTTACCTTAACCATAAACTTAACCTAAACCCTAATTGTTACCTTAAAACTAACCTTAATCCTAACTTTATAACCCTAACCGTAGACTTAACTCTGACCTTAACCTTAACCCTAACACTAACCCTGACCATAACGCTCACCCTAAACTTAGCCCTAACCCTTTCACAGCAGCAATTGCTAAATTTTCTTTCAATTTATCGAATTTAAGGCCACAGGGGAAATGGTGGTGTCATGATAAAATCCTTTGGCTAGTGCCCAGAGAGCCCTGGTTAATATTTAGATTTAAATCCCACTATAGGCGCAACTGCAATTTAAATGTAATTAACAAAACCGGAATATAAAGTGAGTTTCATGTTTCAGAACCCCCTTCCCCTCCCCCATTTCTGATGAAGGGTCTAGGCCCGAAACGTCAGCCTTTCTGCTCCTATGATGCTGCTTGGCCTGCTGTGTTCATCCAACTCTGCACCTTGTTGTCTTGGATTCTCCAGCATCTGCAGTTCCTACTATCTCTGAGTTTCATGTTTGCTGACTGTGACAACCACTGTTTGTTCCTATAAAAACCTGTTTCACCAATGTCCTTTAGGGAAGGAAATCTTTTCATCCTCAGCTGGTCTGATTCCAGACCCACAGCAATGTGGTTGATCCTTAACTGCCCTCTGAACTGGCTTGGTAAGCCACTCAGTTCAAAAGAAACTAGGAATGGGCATTAAACATGTGCCCTGCCTGTGATACCCACATCCATGAAAGTGATTTTAAAAGGCCTAATTTCTGCAGCTTAAGATTTAGAGAGTAAACCTTCCAGAACACTAGTTCTATTATCATATCTAGAATCCCTACAGTGTGGAATCAGGCCAATCAACCCATAGAGTCCACCACCTCCAAAGAGCATCCCACCCAGATCCACCCCCTCTACCCTATCCCTGTAACCCTGCATTTCCAATGGCCAATCCACCGAACCTGCACATCTTTGGACTGTGGGAGGAAATGCACACAGACACGGGGAGAATGTGCAAACTCCAGACAGACAGTCACCCAAGGCTGGAATTGAACCTGGGTCCCTGGTGCTGTGAGGCAGCAGTGCTAACCACTGAGCCACTGTGTTAATATTGATGCAAGAGGGGAGAGTGCACATAGCGAATATAAACACTCGGCCTATGATAAAACCAGTATTCCCAACCTTGCTTCCTTTGATAAACATCCCCACTTGTTGGAGGTATTATGTGATGATTTGCCTTGTGACTTGATGAATGTCTGAGGGTCAGTGTAGACTTGTTGGGCCAAAGGGCCTGTTTCCACACTGGAGGGATTCTATGAAATCTTGTAGTTGTACCAGCTTCTACCACTTCCTCAGGCAGCTCATTCCATACACACACCACCCTCTGCATGAAAAAAGCCCCTTAGGTCCCTTTTAAATTTTTCCCCTCTCACTCAAATGTGGGCCCTCTAGTTTTAGACTCTCCCACCCTAGGGAAAAGACCTTGTCCATTTATCCTATCCATGTCCCTCATAATTTTAAAAACCTCTATAAGGTCACCCCTCAGCCTCCGACACTCCAGGGAAAATAACTCCAGCCTATTCAACCTCCCCCTGTAGCTCAAACCATCCAACCCTCGCAACATCCTTGTAAATCTTTTCCATTTCATTTCCAGATACATTTCCATCGATGCAGTACTTCAGAAAGTGGATGCACATGCATTCTTCAATTTGGATAAAGTCACACACATGTGAGTATTTGGTCCCTGGGGCTGCAGGTCCCAAAAATTGGAAATTGACATTACATAGGGGTAACGGGAGAGGAGGGGCAGGGGCGGATCTGGAACTCCAGCCCCAAAATTGTCAGGGGGGGTGGCATGGGACGTTGAAAATTGCAGAAAGACCATTTCTATGAGTAGTACAACCAAGACTGTTTGGTGCCATTGAGACACACATCCACTTAAAATGCATAAAGATTAGAAGGGCTGAATGGCCTCCTCCTGGTCCTTGTTCCTCTGTTGAGAGTAGAAGCTGTTATACTCAGCACTGACTCCTCAAAGGCAACTTCAATGGGCATTAAGAGATTCCTTCTCTTCCCTACAATGACCTCATCCCAAGGACTATGAAAAACAGAAGAGTTTGCAGAATTTCAAGCCTAAAGCAAGTGTTTGATCTCTGTAGCTCTCTTGGTATAAAGCAGTGAGTGAATCCAGTGCTACATTTCGTACCTACTCTAAGTATCGAGCCCACTTTGAGGATTTTTCCTTTCCCTTCTCATACTGTTTTAGTTGAAATTAGATAGTTAACTGGAAAGATTCAGAATTATTTTTGTATGATCATGTTGGCCAGGAACGTTGCAAAGTGCTTCAGCCCATGGGTGAAATTTGCAAAGTGTTTACTGGTAGCTAACTAACTCCCACACCACTGGAAAGACCCGTCCAATCCCTGAGAACAGGCAAGGTCCTTGGCAAATTTGCAGCTCCATTGCCGGCCTCCCCAGTCATCAGGAGCTGCCAGTCGTGGTCCAGATATGGAAAATGAAGACTGCATTTTATACTCTTCTCACGTGATGAGTGTTACAGGGTGGTGGGGTCAAAAGGGCATCTCTTTGCCAACCCCCACCCAATCAGTGCCTCTGATTGCCTTCCCAAACAGGGGCATTTGTAGCCCCAGCCTGAACTCAGCTGGCAGGTCACCATGCAATCCCAGTCCTGCACCTGGCCACCTTTTCATCTTCCAGGGTGGCAGGAGAACAGGAAGATGGCAATTTGAGGCCCTGAAATGGCCACTTTAAGACCTTAATCGGTGGCAGCTCCAGAAGGTCACCCTTGGGCCTTATACACAGAACTTAATTAGTGCCAGGAAGGGAGTGAGTTTCCCCCCAGGGCCAATGTGATGAAATGTTTCCTCTCATCACCACCTCCAGGGACGGAGGTGTTATTTTTACATTGCCATGTTTGTGCACAGCAGGATCTCACACCGAAAACCGAGTGACTGATCTTTTTGCCCTGTTTCATGGGCAATGTTGATTGAGGAGACACATTGGGTAGGCACCAACAGGAAATTCTTGCCCTTCTTCATAAAATCTTCAACAGTCCACCTCAATCTCTGGAACAGGAGGGCAGGAACTCAACTCAGTGTCTTACCTCGGAGGTATCGCACCTCCGGCATTGCTGCACTCCCTCACCGCTGCACTGAAGAGGTGGCACAGATTGCCTGCTCACATTCTCCCGTAAGATTTGAAGCGCGAACCCTCTAATTTGGAGACGCAGCAGTGGAACTGATAGTCGGAAACATCTTCACTATTGTGACCTGAGGCCTAAGCTCTGGATTGCAACTCCCTTCATTGTTTTGTTTCTCTCTGTCTCTTTCTCTCTGACTCTTCAAGATGTTCCTTAAACCCTACTTCATGACCAAGGCTGAACTCCTGATGAGTGCAAGACAAAATGATCTGACAATCCTTGCTCAGCACAAAAGGAGCCATTTGGCCCACCATATCTGTGCCAGCTCTTTGAAGGTTACCTAGTTACCCTAGTGCCACTATACCACTTTCTCCCTGCAACCCTACGCATTCTTCCTGGTTTGTTAATGATTTCATTCTCTCTTGAAAGCCTTATTGAACCTACCTCCACCACACTGACAGGCAGTATATTCCACATCCTAACTACTTCTCCTTATAACCCCATTGCTTCTTCTACCTTAAATCTGTGCCTCTCATTCTTTCCATGAGTGAAAATAGTCTTTCCCTCTCAGTGGGCCCTCGTGATTTCTAAAACCTTCATCAAATCTCCTCTTCTGTAAGGAAAGCAGTCCCAAATCGCCCAATCCATCCAAAGTTCTTCATTCTTGCAACCGTTTTAGTGAGTCTTTTCTGTGCTATCTTCCTATCTTACGTGAAAGGTGGGACCCAGACCTGGATATCCACCCAACCAGCAGGTGGGACCTCAATTTAACATCTCAGCATCATCAATAGTGCAGCATTCCCACAGCACTGCTGCTGGCATCTCAGTCTTCATCATCATCCTCAAGTCCTAGAGTGACACTTGAACCAAGAGGTTCAGGGGTAAGTTGCTACCAACTGAGCCACAAATAAATCATGGTCCTCTGATCACTATTCTCTGATCCCTGCTGGAAAGTGGACTGGTATTGAAGTGGATATTGTCTGTGATGCAGTACATGGTCTGAGAACATTCACAGTCTGGGCTGAAGTGTTACTGATTGACTGGTACAGTACTGACTCGTACTGAGCACAGCCGCACAGAGATAATACAAGCTGCAATCAGAGGGAAGGAAATGAAAAGGGGAAAAACTACAAGAACGGACTATATCAATAACTCTTTTCTTTTTAAAACAGAGAGATACGGAACACGAAGAGCTTGAGTCACATTGACCCAGATGCTTTCAAGAATCTTCCAGTTCTGAAATACTTGTAAGTATAGAAAAGCAAAATTGAATGCTCTGGTATTTCTGGTAGGCCTTCCTGGGTTCTCATAGTTTGGTGCATTATGATTATGAGCCCTTGCAAATTAGATTTGTCTTTAAGGGCAGAGTGTTTTGGCCATTCCAACCTCTTCACTAGGGAGGGCCATTGTACAGTTAGTGTTAGCTCTTTGACCTGTTTACATTTCAAGTCCACTCTGAAATGGGAAATGAGACAGAGGGCCAAAGAACACGATTTTGGCAACTGTGGGACAAACGTGATGATTTTGGAGCAGACAGCCTGGTCCAATCAGGGAGCTGGCAGCCTAGCACCCCCAGCCAACACGATGGGAGAGGTGGGTGCTGCTGAGGCAGGTTGGAACTTCTGGGGGATTCCTCAGTCGGAATGCTGCCTCACAGAAGCACAAGTTACACTTCAGGGTGGCAGAGAGGGAACGCCAAGCCAATCCAATGTGTGTGGGTGTGTTGGGGTGAGCTGGTGGGTGAGGGGAATGTGGAGTCTGGGGCAATAATTTCCTGCCCACTGCCTCTCAATGGGACATGGAGGCTTCGATCTAATGGGCTATCAGGCTCGGTGAAGCTAGTGGCTTTACCACCGGTTGGGAGGCTGCTCCATCCCCTGGCAAAAGAGGTCAATATAAACTATTCGACAAGAAGTTAAGAAGTAACCTCTTTACCCAAAAAAGTGGTGAGATTGTGAAATTAATTCCCATGAGACAGTGGCTGAAATGGATAGTCTAGATTTGCAGTCTATGGGAGGCTACACGAGCATGTCAGTGAGAAAGAAACATGATGATTGATTTCATTAGGTTTGATTTGATTTATTATTGTCACTTGTACCGAGATACAGTGAAAAGTATTGTTTTGCATGCTAACCAGACAAATCATACCCTACATGAGTACGTCAGGGTAATAGAATAGAATGCAGAATATAGTGTTTCAGCTACAGACACAGTGCAGAGAAAGATCAACTCTAATACATGAGAGGTCTGTTCGTTAGTCTGACAACAGCGAGGAAAAAGCTGTTCTTGAATCCGTTAGTACTTGCGTTTAAGCTTTTGTGTCTGGAAGAGGATAGAAGAGATTATGACCAGGGTGGGAGGGGTCTTTGATTATGTTGCCCGCTTTCCTGAGGGAGCAGCAAGGATAGACAGGGCCAATGGATGGAAGGCTGGTTTGTGTGATGGACTGGCCTGTGTTCACAACTCTCTGTAATTTCTTGCAGCCTTGGGCAGAGCAGTTGCAATACCAGATTGAGTTGAGAAGCGATTGGAAGAGATTCAAGTGAAGTCTCAACACTGATGTGAATTGTGTGTACTGTGGCCTCTTGTAATATTTATATATATATATCCTATCTACATCAGGTGCGTTTGCACACAGGCTGGAGACATTGAAGTCTTCTTACCTGTCAACTGTTTCTGCTCCGATTTCAGGGGCATTTTCAACACCGGGCTGAACACATTTCCAGACCTGACGAAAATTTGTTCCACTGACGTGAACTTCCTGCTGTGAGTAGTCGAAAAGATAACCATGACTTACTTGGGTATGAAACTGACCAGCACAGTTTTAGAGATGCCAGGTATACGCAGTTTTCTGAATCCTCACTAAAGTGTCACGGCTCCATCTGGTCCAGGTCATGTTGGCGAATGGACTCTGATATACAAAGTCCTTTCACTTTACTCCATTCTCAATGACTTGACAGGTGTAACACCTATAGATGGAATGCTGAGGGAGGGGGTGCTGACTTGAACCTACCCTGTGGGCACTTGGGCTGAGTGTAGACTGGGTACCTGACGAATCACCAACATCACAGTTTTTCTGTTTTCCATTGACTTTGAAAATATTGCCAAGAGTTGTATTTCCAAATGGAGGAACTGACAGTGAGAAACAAGTCTCCATAAAGAGTTTGAACTACCTTGCTCACTTCATTTAGCACCAAGTTATTTTATGTGCCTGATAGAACTAACCTCACCTCCAGTCTATTCCATTTGGGCAGGTTGGATTGAATGTATCCACATTGACCTCTGCATCACTGTGAGAGTCTCACTATATGGTAATCTTCCAATCTGTTGGAGCACTGACCTTTTATACCTCAGGCTGCTCCTACATACTACCTCAAGGTCACTTGGGGATGTTGGCATATCAGTGGTCTGTATTATGTCACAAAGTGTCGTCACGAAAATGGCGTGCCAACTCAAGTGATCAACTATGCAAGAATTCTTGTATCAATCATGGCTAACATGCTTCCCAAGCTGAAAATGGGATATATCAAGAACCACATTTGTACAAGTCAACAGCCCTTTACCCTCCCCGCCATGGACAATGGCATCACTGACAATCTAAGCTTAGGGCAAAAATATTCAAGTAACCATCAAACAAACCTTCATGTCCTCCTGAATCTCTCAAAGGCCATTATGTCAAAGACAGGGGGATGGAAGGATGTTACAGGGCAGCTAAAATCTCACCAAATAGCAGAGAACAGGCTCTCCCTTTTAATGACTTCCAGTCCCTACCATAAGTTAGTAAAATAATGAAGGTTCATCCCAAATTCAACACTTACTTGTAAAAAAAAGTGAGGTAGACACCACTGGAAGAGAATTTGCTTCGGGAGTTCTCCCAGACTTCTACAAGTGGAGTACAGGCCTGTTTTCCCTGGATTTCTGACAATCTTATCTCAACGCTACACCAGGACATCAGGAGATCCCCACACAACCCCCAACACTGTAGTAGTTTTAACCCATCTCTTGTCATCATATCGAGATCCCAGCTTAATTTTCTTTGGTGCTTTTTACAAAGCGAAAGGAGAAGAAAAGAGGCCATTCCAAACACTTCAGAAACAATTTCCATAATATAAATATTTTGATCTGTCAGTACCTCAGCCCAACCAAGTTTTGTGTTGCACTTGGAAGAAGTACAAAGATGTGAAGAATGTAACATGCCACAGGCACAAGGCCCACAATCTCTGAACTGACTTGTATCTGAACTCACTTCGTGTTCACTTAAGACCAACAAGTAGCCTTAGCATCTTTAGACTCCAGCAACAGCACGACCTCAGGTACAGAGAGGGACGGGTTTGGTGCCTGTGTGGAATGAGGTGAGCTAACTTCACCTGGGTTCAAAGGCCAACTATTCAAGGACGGTTGCGAACATGAACATCCCCAATTCATTGATCACTGGAGCTTTTGATGTAAGATTAAAAGGGCAGTTATAGTTGAGAGGGGTGGTTATCTGACACAACAGCTTGGGAGCACAGGATAAAAGTGCCTTGACGTTTTCGGAGGTGGGGTTGGTGGGAAATGGGGATTGTTGGTGGGAGGAGTGCAGGCAGCCTAGGCTTCTCCAAGGCTACAATGGAAGTGTTTCCAAATTCAGTCTGACGCAGGAATAGGGATGTGCTTGGGGGCAGAACTCATTAAGACAGGTCCTTGCCTCAGATTTGCCAAGACTCTTGTTTCTAAGATTAGGATTACGTGGATTTTCACCAAAGTGGGTAGTTTTAAAACCTCTTGGACCTTAAGCTTTAAATCTTTATTTATTCAGTGGGTCGGTATGAGAGGTAAAGAAAGCCAGGGCATTGCTTTAGGTATGGAAACTCGTCCAGCAGCAACCAGCCAGCACAAACACAGCAAGCCCCAACAATTGAGAGCCAGCTGTGGGTTCAACAATATTTAGTTAATAAAACATTAAACACACGATAGCCGACAACGTCTGCTATGAACAGCGACGTATATTTAAATGTTATGCTTGGATTACTGTTCCTACACAATGGCAGTGATGGGAAGTAGTTGGATCTATTGGAATTCTATGCTTAGTATAAAATAATAGTTGGATGGAGTCTGTGTTTATCCAACTCTGTCATTTCATTCAAATTCCTCACTTTCTAAATATGGGTTACAGCAAATGCAAGGAAGTCTTTTCAAATAGATATGGTGCTAGCCGATTATACACTCATTCTAATACCCTGTTGAGTAGGTGGGTACCCAAGGATCTATCGGAGGGCTAGTGTTTTGCCGTCTCAAAACCAAAATATCTCTTCCCACCATTGGCAATCTGAGAACATTCAGGGTCTCAGAATGAGAAAAGCAATGAACAAGTAGGGATTGCGAAAATGAAGAAAGACTTTGTTACGGCAGAGACAGGTATAATGGACCAGACCAGACCCCTCAACATATAGTAAAAAGGTAGTGTAGACCCTAACATTTTCTTATTTCTAAGGTAAATGCGAGGTGCTGTGTTCCACATGCAATTTGATTGGTCAAACTATTCGATGTTAAACAAAACACAATTTATTCAAACACTGCAGTTAAAGTACAACAAAAGAAAGAGGAACTTTTAATAACTTAACTCTATTGGAAAACTTAACAGAATAATACATTTTTTTATTACTAAAAGCAACTGTTCTAATGTAGCAACATCCCATAAATACTCCCTTGGCAAAAAGGCAAATTGAGAACAACAGATTGTCTCACGTAATCCTATCAGCAAGAAAGAGATACACGCAGCAGCTCCCCAGATAGAGAGGGAGAGAATGCAGCAGCTGGGAGAGAGTCACTGCCTTCCTACCTTGCTGACACCCCAGCAAAAACAACTGAAGGTCATTTAATACTCCTAGATCTGTGAGAGCATCACCACACCCACTCAGGCTGCTTCTATTGTTCCAACCTTAAAAAAAACCCCAAGGCCTCACCAGTGGCTTATTTTCTCACTGACTGCTCGGCGCTTGTCCCTCAGTCTCTCTCTCTGAAAGAACCCAGGACAAAACACATCTCTTAAAGCCACTGCATCGTCACCCAGGGAGAGCCACTTGTAAAGACAAGCAGCATTGCAGTTCATTCATGTAAGAAAATCACCAAAGGCGTCAAATAGGAAATTCAGAACTTTACCCGGAAAGTGGTGAGAATATGGAGCTTACTGCCACTGGACAGATGGAATGGGTGAAGAGATGCAAGCCTTCTCGAGTCTCCTATCTTTTGTCTGCCTGGCCCTAATTACAGCAAGCCCTGCTGCAAGAAATTGAGAATTGTCATGATGCAGAGAAGGAGTCCATTCAGCCCATTGTGCCTGTACTAGTTCTGTTACCTAGAGCCAGTCTCCAGCCTTTTCCACCGTATTTCTGCACACCGTTTCTATTCAAACAATCATCCAGTGCTCTCTTGAATGCCTCAATTCAACGGGGATCCACCGTATTCGCAGGCAGCAATTCAATGTCGATGGATCAGGAAATCAACGAAGAAAGGCTTTCACTGTCAGGGCATCAGAGCCAACCTCAAGGTATTGAATGAACAGGACCCACAGGATGTCCATGATACCTGGCCTGCCTGGAATACTATCAGAAGGAGACTTTGGCTTTCTCTACCGGGAAACATCAAGACTGGTTTGACGAGAGCGACCAGGTTATCCAGGAGCTACTAAAGCACAAGTGTAAGCCATTCACAAACTGTGAGCATGCCAATGCTCAAGGGAAGGAAAGCAGCTCTACTGACAAATGAAAACCGTGGTTCAATGAGAAACCTTTGATTTAAAGAACAGAAGGAAATCCAGCAAGCCCCAATGACGGATGAGAATTTTGGTGCAAAACCACACAATTTGGAGAAGAGTTAAACCACAAAGATGTAACTGTTTCAGATGCCCCAGACAGACCTACATGGAGGCCTGAGCAAACAGCAGAAGGAGTGTGCGAAAGCCTATCATGGGAGATGGAAACTAGTGTGGAGGTAGAAGATCAGCCAGGATTGTGTGGAATAGTGGAGCAGGCTCAAGAAGCTGAGACACCTACTCCTGTTACCATGATTTCTGACTCTATGAAATACAATACAGTGAGGGCTCTGAGTGTCAGTTGTTGAAATATTCTTTGGTCCATGCTTGAGGAAGAGGGATTAGAAGTGGACTTTAGAGAGGAAATGTGAATCGTAAAATGTTTCAGCTAAAAACGGGAGTAGAATGTTGGCACAATGGAATGTTCTTTCCTTGGTTTCCTCTCGCGAATGAATTTAAAACAAAAAGATCAGTCTGAATCTTTTTGCTGGCGGCGTGTACTTTAAACAGTGCAAATCTCTAACTCTTAGAATAACATAGCAACAGACAGAGACTGTTTGAACTATCACATCTCTACTGGAGCATTTGGAGAGTTTGCCAATTGGTCACATAACCCCTGCACTATCCCCGTCATTCTATTTCAAAAATCTACACAGTTCATTTTTGTCAGGAAAACTCATCTTGTTTTGTTCAGGAAGCATCATTCCCATCTCCTGAGGTTCTCCTTGAGGCTGGGAGGTCAACATGGACAACTTGCTCCCAGTTTTTCCAACTCATTCTTTGTTGGACAGCTGCAGAATTACCTGGCAATGTGGTGGGGTTTAGATGAGGAATTCTGAATTTCTACATCAAAACAGAGTAGCATGAATAGGACATTCAGCCTTTCTAGCCTGGTACATTATGGCCTATCTATATCTGAACTCCATCTTGAGTGGGAGATCTGAAATACAATCCAAGCAAGGGTCACCCCCTT